CCTTATATCTCCGGTGTTTAGGGGAATTAAAACAATGCCTGTACATCATCGATGAGATTCTATCTTGAAAGCATACGGTTTGCAATTATGGGTATTTTGTTTTCGTCATCCTCCCTCCAATATTTGCTAAACACAACAGTGATGAAGTGGAGTGGATAAAAGTGTATGTGTCTGTGATAAGTGGAAATAATGAGTGAATACGACGTGACTGATTCGGAAAATGCATAATAACTCCATTAATATTACCATTCAAAACAACAATGTTTAAACACAAGTAGCAATTAACAGGAAATAAACTACAAGATGCAAATGATAAAAGCGTTCAAGGACTGCCAATGTTGAGGACGTCTGCCTGTCTAGACCACTGGCTTTTGGAAATGACCCTTGAAATATTCGAGTTTAGACAGCTGAGAGGTTGACATGGACAACCAAACTACCTTCTGGAAAAGATATATATCCTTTGTCAATCAGCTGCTGCACTTTGGCTTGGAAGGCTTTGCATTCTTCAGTCGCATGCCCCATGGATCCACCATGATATCCACACTGAGCATTGGGATTGTACCCAGGAGGGTAAGGTTCTGGCATAAGCTTAAGAGTCTTAGGCTCCACCAATGAGTTTTGAATCAGATGTGGGAGAAGCTGACTGTGCGACATAGGGATTGGATGAAGAGGAGCATTCCTTCTTTCCAAATTGTTGTTGAGCCTATGCTGATTTTGGCGCTGATTCGGACGACCTCGACTATGGGCTTGTTGATTTGCATGGGGAGCGACCCATGGCTTGCAGAATGGAGCTTTAGACATGGCTGATTTCCCATAAGGATAACATGGCGCTGGTAATGATGCCTGTTGAGCAGATGAGGGACCACATAGTTTTGCTGGTACATCGTGAGAGTACTCAATGTTTGCTATGAATTCATTGGTCTCATCTTTCTCTTCCTCATGGAAATCGTCGAAAGATTCAATCTCACTGGCCTGGCTGCCTGATGCATCCTGGATTTGTCCACTTTTGAGGTAACTTTCGAGGCGCTCTCCTACAATCACAAGGTCAGAGAAGCTTGATGGCGTACAACCAGCCATTCTTTCAAAATAAGAGCCATGCAAACTGTTGATGAACATGTCAATCAGCTCCTTGTCCGAGAGTGGTGGTTGCACTCTTGCTGCGAATTCCCTCCACCGCTGTGCATATCCCTTAAAAGGTTCATTTCCATTCTGAGATAGGCTTTGCAACTGCATGCGGGTGGGAGGAGTGTCTAGATTAAACTGGTAAAACTTTAGAAAAGCATTGGCTAGGTCCCTCCATGATTGGATATGACTCCTTACTAAATCTGTGTACCAACTTAATGATGCCCCACTCAGACTTTCTTGAAAACAGTGGATCATCAACTTATCCTCATGAGTGTAAGGGGTCATTTTTCGACAGTACATCACCAAATGACGCCTCTGGCAACTAAAGCCGGTGTACTTCTCGAAGTTGGGTATCTTGAATCTCGGAGGGATCACCAAATCTAGCACTAGACACATATCAGCAGCATCGAGGTCGGGCATGTCAAACACTCTCATAGCTTGAATTGTCTCCTTAAGGGCACGAAGTTTTTCTTCCATGGGATCAGTCGTTGGCATCCTCTGGGGTCGAGTAGGAACGTTTACTTGCGGAGGATGGCCATCCGGCGGAAGATCATACAGTGGATTTTTCGTCACATTAAACCCTGGTGGGGACTCAACATTCTGGCGGTCATTCTCTGGCATAGCTACTCCAGCTTGCATTGTTTTGACTTGGCTTCTCAAAGCTTCTACATTCCTCTTGCTTCAAACTCTTCACAGCTCTCCCAAGTTCAATGGGAGTGTCGGGAAATCAACTGCGGGTTATGAACAGAGGATGGGTAAGCTTGGAATCTTGGTCAGGGAAGAAAATGCAAAATGATGCAGATATGCTTATGCAAATGCAATGCAATGAGTGCACACGAGAACAGATCCACAACAACGATTAAAGTCACAGATCCTGCAAGACAACAACAAAAGGTATCTCTCCCCTCGGGTGGGCAATCTACTGGTTTAATAAGAGGGTATCCCAAAGGCCTTTAAACAAAGTCCCATGCACTAACCCTCAAAAGTTTTCCATCAGAACGACTACTCGTAAGACGGTATTCCCTTTAAAGGATGAACACAGAGTTATGTTTTAGGAACCTTCGAAATAAGGTTCTACAAAAGGTCCTCAGAGTCACGGACTCCCAAGTTGGAAATAAAGATGCCATTACGACTACACGTAAGACATAATCATCCCAAAGGGGTCTCGTCTGAGCGGTGGAATTCGATCCAACTCAACGAGTCCTAAGTCTCGCAAATCAGAAAGAATCCACCTCCTAACTTAGTGTATACTCGAAAGCTCGGGTAGAAAGCTTTTATCCTTACAAACCAACCAAATAAACCCAACAGGTTAGAGAATAAAGCATAAATAAATAAGGCAAAAAAAAAAAAAAAAAAAAATACAAACACGACAAACAAAATAGGCTTGGCTCGTTGTAGTCCCCAGCAGAGTCGCCAGCTGTCGCTACTCGAAAAATGCATCGCGCAACGACGGGGAGGCGAAAAGAAAGGACAGAAGAGTCGCCACCGAACTTTATTTATCCCATGAGGGGAAAGGAAAATATCGAGAAAACCTTAAGAAAAGAATGGATAAGATGGTCTCGCAACCATGAACGGGTTCGGAAGCCGGTTATGCGAGGGGAAGGTATTAGCACCCCTCGCATCCATCGTACTCGATGGGAACCTTTTGTTTGTCGATGTGTGATTATATTTGCTTAAACATTATGCTATAAGAAGTGTTCCAAAAGATAGGGGAAAAGGGTTAGAAATTGGGAAAAGAGAGGTAACAGAGGAAAAGAGAGAAAGAACTGACTCGGTAGGACTTCGCAGTCCTATGCCTACGTATTCTCAATAGATGTGAGAAAGTCAGAGTCGACGTAGTTCGGGGAACTACAGATATTGGGGGGAAAGTGCTCGACAAGGATTGTGGCCCTTGTGCCTACGTATCTTTACTCAAAAGAAGTAAAGAATCAGAGCAGCCGTAGTTCGGCCTACGGTGTGCGGGGGGAGTTCTGGTAGACGATGCTATCGTGCGCATTCTAGTAGTTAGGCGTATTGCTGCTCGCATGTGAGGAGACTTATGCGTTACCTGTTTGCGGTAGAACGGACGTAGCATGCCTTTCTGGGAAAGGGTGAAAAAGAAAAAAGGGTGCTCGCTAGGATATCGCAATCCTATGCCTACGTATTCTCAATATGCATGAGAAATCAGAGCAACGTAGTTCGTGCTTACGGTGCGGATAACCGGTGTGTTTTGTGGATGATGTTATCGTACGCGTTCTAGCAGTTTAGGTGTTTTGCTGCTCGCTCGTTTGGAGACTTATGCGTACCTGTTTGCGGTAGAACGGACGTAACATATCCTTTTGAAAGATTGATTAGGTTTTCGCCACGCGAGGCAAGAAGTCACATTTGATTTATTGAATTATTTTTGGGGCGAGATAGGTCCTCGGATAGTAACCCCTACGGGTAGTACCCAATTCATTGTCTCAAAGTTTTTGTTATAAAAGGTGTGGCGAACGAGGCGTCTTCGTATTGAAAGACGAGCGTCGAAACCACCCTCACTACAGTGGGCATCCCATCGCTCGGAGAAAAAGAGGTCTACACCCAATCCTCTCTCTTTAATTCAATACAAAGGGAACTTCGTTCTCTTATTAAATATGTTTTTGGTTTTGAATGGTAAGTACTTTGCGACAGAGAACCCTACGGTAAATGTCAGCACTCGGGATAGGAGAAGGCCTACGCCTAACCACTCCACGACCATTCAAGTTTTTGTTGTGAAAAGATTTGAAAATGCACTCGGTACAGGACCGAGGTTTTAGGTGTGAAAATTGTGGAAGGAAGTTGTGAAAGCGAGATGGTGGATAAAAGCGCGTCTTCGCATCGAAAGACGAGTGTCGAGACCACCCTCACTACAGTGGGCATCCCATCACTCGGAGAAGAAGAGTTCTACACCCAATCTTCTCTCTTTAATTCGATACAAAGAGAAATTAATTTATTATTGAAAGTATACTCAGTACGAGACCGAGGTTTTATGAGGAAATGATGAAGCGTCTTTGTATTGACAGACGAGCATCGAGACCACCCTCACTACAGTGGGCATCCCATCACTCGGAGAAGAAGAGGTCTACACCCAATCCTCTCTTTTTTAATTCAATACAAGGAATTGATTTTAAGGAGATGAGATTTGAAAATGGATGGGAAGCGTCTTCGTATTGAAAGACGAGTGTCGGAACCACCCTCACTACAGTGGGTATCCCAACACTCGGAGAGGAAGAAAGTCTACACTTAATCCCCTCTTTTTAATTCAATACAAAGATAATTTGATTTTGAAAATTGTTTGACAAAGTTTTTGAATCGAGTCGGGACAAGTAATGAAGAGAGAAAAGAGGTGGTCTCAGATCCAACATTACTCATCAATAATTTGACTGGTAATGAATTACAGAGGTCTCGTCATCGACCCAAAAGGGCAAAAATGCCCAATAATAAAAAAAAGAAATAAAATTATATATAAGAAAATATTGAAATAAACTTCTAAATAGCCAACTAATAATATATTCTAAAAGAAAAGTAATATAAACTCTAATATAGAAATTCTAAATAGAAAATAACATATATATCTAAACATAATATATAAATCTAAATATACTAAATAAAAAAAAATATAAAACGAATATATATATATATATATATAAAATAGGGTTTTTTAAAAAACAATATATATATACATAATACATAATAAAGAAAGTTTAAAACCTGATATGCTAAAATAAACAAAAAAAACAAATTGAGGCTTATAACCTTCAGGGTAAGTCCTGAAAGCCCCAATCTCAACTTTCCCAGCAGAAACAGTCCTGGTCGGATCAATCACAACCGCCAAAAATGGCTCCTGAAATTGTTGATTCAACATCTGCGTCGAAACATCAATCCCAGAAAGCCAACAACCATAACCAGGATGAGAATGATACCATCCCACAACATTTTCCAACCTTCCAGCCTTGCATGAGACCCATAACCTCGATGGTACCACCGGAGCGCGCATGAACAACCATCTCGAGTAAAGCGAGTGCAGAGATCTTGACGCGCTTGAAGTAGTGAGGATCGTTCGCCCATGGTTTATCGCGTTGAAACTCGTTCTGTCCTGCTTCGTCGTAGTGGAAAATCGAATCGTCGGCAGCGGGAGTTTCCATGGGAATTATGTTGTTCTCTAACTCCCATGTTTGTTGCGCAATCGCCGATGACGATGAAGGTTCCATTTTTGTTCTCTCTCCGCCGCTCTCTCTGCCGTTGATCTTTTCTCTCCGGTGAGTGAGGGGAATTGGGAAGGTCACTACTCCGGAGTCACAGACTACTGAAGTGACGGTCCAGTCTTGGGGAGAGTTTGGGTTTGAAAGTCTGGGTGAGGGATGGAGTTTGACAGGGCGATCCTTGTTTTTTCTTTCTCGCTCTGGCGTCGATTTGGATAGGGTTTATGGATTAGTGGAAGTTTGGGGTCTTTGGTGTGGGTTGAAGGTATCAACGGTTGGAATTTCGTGTGGGTTTATGTTGAAATGGAGGTTGGCATTGGAGGGTTTGTTCCGAGATTCAGAGGTGAACGAGTTTGAAGCTTCTGGGCAGAGTTTTTGGAGGTGTTCTTCTGGGTTTTGTGAAGGTTGGGTCGATTTACGTTGGAACAGGGGAGAACTGGGTTCTGATCGAAGGGTTTAGACAGTTACCAATTCGGATTTGTGGGTCGGAGTTTTGATTAGTTTTTGTGTAGTTGTTGGTTGAATGTTGAATACGATGTGGTGTCTTGAGTGAATTCAAAGAAGAGGTGGATCTGTGGTTCTGTTGGGAGTTTGAGCAGATGGTTAGGACTTCTGCCGAGTTGTTGAAGACGGTACTGGTGAGTTTGAAGACAAGTTTGAAGGTTTTGGTTTTTTTGAAGCAAGAAGATCGATGGAAGGTGGCTTGTTTGGAGCTGATGAAGATGAAACCGATACATGGTGAAGAGGCAGATGGTTAGTTGAATGTTTTTTTGGTCTTGGTTGAGAAAGTTTGTGTTGTTATTTGAAGAGGTTTGAACAAGTTTAGAATCCCCCCAGAGGTTGGTTGTCTGGCGTGGCTTTGAAGTAGTAGCAGGTTCTGTACCATTTTGTTTGTCTTCTGCGGGGTGTGGGCTGTGTTGTGCAGGTATTGTCTTTGTGTAGCAGTGTACAGAGATAGTAGCAGAGTTGTTGTTTGGTAGTAGTGGTGATTGCCCTCAGCTTTTTTTTTTACCCTTTCCTTTTGTTTTTGTACACCATAATAGCTGGCAATGATGTTTTCCTATGGTACAATTTTGCTGCAGGTTTTGTCTGCTGTGGGTGTTGGGATAGTGGTGTGTAGCAGGTTTTGTTTTGCAGGTCATGACTTGTAACAGGTATTTTGGCTAGTTGTAGCCAAACTTGCCTTTTTTGTGAAAAATGTTCTCCTAATTTGTATCATTTTCTTGGTATTGCAGGCTTGACTGCATTGTAGGATACAAATGGGGTCAGCAGTTTTAAAAAAAAAAGTGGGAGTTTGAGGTTCAGCTGCGGGTAATGGTATGCATAGAGTGTCGGTACGCGAGCTGTTTTGGCAGATGGTGTGTGTTTGCAGGTTTCATTATGGTGTTGTTGTTGGCTGCGGTGCGGCTTTGCTATGAAATTCGCTTCCGTAAAACTCATGGTTCTGTCTTGTAGGTATTATTACTGAGAGGCGGTGGGGCTGGTGCGTGCACGTTGGTTCATGACTTGGGATCGTGAGGCCGTACTCTACTTGGCAGGAGAGGATAGCTATGATTCAGAAGTTTGTTGATGAGCAGAGTTTCTATTTGGCATGCCAGACTTTTTCCCGGAACTAAGAAATAAAGAAGTGACGCTTCCTGCATTCTTTTCTTTGGAGTTCCGTTATAAAATCCTGGCAGATTACCGTGATAGCATTCTCAACCTCCTTATGTGAAACTTCAATTGGATTGGTTAAGGAGATTCCCTCATGAGCAGTGCCGGGTATAACTTTTTGGAATGAATATGCGTTCCATTCAAATTGTTACCATTGACGTAAGAAGACATTTCTTCCTGTTTTTTTTTTTTGCAAAATTTTCTGCAGAAAGCATTTCCTTAGCATAAACTGACAGATAAAGATCTTCAGCTCTTTTGATAATAATTTCAGGAATTCCTTCCCTCTTGGCAGTTTCAAACGCAAGACCTTTTTTACAAGTTCCATCTGTCAGCTTCCAAGTAGGTTTTGTTTGTCCATCAATGCACGTTGTGCCCATTCCTTTATGCACCGTGTTTTTGAGGTTTAGTGGCAATTTAAATATTCCGTGCAAGTGAGTAGATACAATACCCAAACAACCAATTTTATCAAGTGTTTCAATGATGCTGCCTGCAATACAAGTCCCTTTTGCAGTTTCTGTTCCTCGGCATATTTCATCAACAAGCACAAGGCTCTTTTCTATGCACAAGTCGTAGTTTGTGGGGCTGTTGTTATTGTTTTGATGTGCAGGCTTTTGCAGATTGTACTACATTGCAGCAGGTTACTGTGAGGTGTTGGATACATTAGCTGCAGTATCTTGTACCATTTACTGTGAACCTCTTGACAAGGTGCAACCAGTAGCTACTTCACGCGGACTCTACACCACTTTTCGTTTGCCGTTCTTTCATGACCCAAACAGTCTTGACAAAAACAATGTAATGGGAACAAATGCTCTTAGATATTGCATATGAGTTTTGGAATTATGTAAATGGATTTGAGCAAAGTTCAAAATCCCGATGAACTCTATTATTTAACATGCTTTCCTCTTGTGTAGATAGATGTATATCATTGCAACACAATTTGGTTAAATTTGTGAAATAGGCCTTTGGCTTTTTTTTTGTTTGAAACAACAGAAAAGAACGTGATCTCATAGAAATAATTTTTGAATAAAAATTCTCTTCTTGACGAATCATTGCAATGAAATGGCCTATATCTTGAAATGTCATTTAACTATTCAAAATCTCATTGCTTCACAAAATAAAGCTCGTAACATAACTTGAAACAAATCTTCATGCCTTGAAAATGCGCCTAGCTTTGCACTAATCAACTCCATCATGAATTTTCAATAAGATTTGAGTTTCAATTTGAAGAATGCTTGAAGCAAAAATCAACTCAACTAGAAATCCACTTGAAATATTGCTTAAAACAAACTGAAACAAGACTTGAAATTAGTTGGATCAAAGCCTCGAAATATCTCACACCATATGGCCCAAACTAAAGCTTAACTACATGGTTTGGAATCCACTTGATCATCTTTATTGCTCGACTACAAGTACATAGGCTCATCTTTCTTCTATCTTCATTTGAACTCAACATGTTTTGCAAAAACTTGTGATCATACTAAACACAAACCAACAAAACTCCCAGACCCGAGAAAAAGCTAGGGGATCTTGGCCCAGGGTCAAATGATTGCCTAGAGAACAAGCACCAAGCAACTATTATTCGTGATGAGAAAAGTAAGAAAGGTAGGGCGAATTTAGGGTATGACAATCATGACCCACTCAAATCCGAAGATACTACTGGGGAATAACATGTGCCAGGGTCTGGATACCACGCGGGCTAAGAGAGATCACATGGTCTGGATACCAAAAGGGAAAAACGAACCTCTGAAGAAACACCTGAAACAAAGAGATAACAACCTGGTCTATGTTTCACATGCAAATGTTTGAAAATGGCGTAATGCTCCATACGAAATGGAAATGCTACGCGTTTGGGTAGATGCTATCCACACATGCAGATGCATCGGAACTGAAACAAAAAAATGAATTCCAGGGAAACAGAAACCATCCTGTCGGAAACGACAAACAAACCTGCAGGGAAAAGCATACCCATGCCAATAACAATTGGACTTATACCACAAAGGCCTCGAAAGGCTCACCTACCGGGGATAAAGTTCATACAAGAACAGAAAATCCAAAATCAACCGAGGATACGGATCACCACTGGCTGAGGTAAATGTCTGGGCTGACTCTCCGGAATACAAAACCTTTTGAAGAACAGATAACTCACCGAGTACTTAAAACAAACAGGCTAAACAGCCTCACTTACCTGATAGAGAACAAAACTTCTATCGGATGTCTCAGTCTGTATTACTGAAAGCTGAGTTCCTTCAATCAGACTGAGTGAGAGGGAGAAATACCAGGCCACTGCTGGGGGAAACCTAGTACCTATTCTGTGGGGAAATGCACGAATCTTGATTCGCTGGGGAGTGGGCACAATTTCGTACTCTGCGGGGATTAAAAGCGCACTGGAAAACTGCCAGGGGCATGCCAAACATTGCATGTAACTCTACTGGGATAGAGATGCAACCTCAACTGCTGGAGAACAACACTGTTTGGGGGAAAAGATGAATCCATCCGTATTCATAAACCTTGCCCCAAGGGTAACAACCCTGCAAAAAACAAAGAGACAAGACAACCTATACAACAAGACTATCTTGGTCATCGTCCGTGACATTGTTCAATTAATATCAAAGTTTTAGCAACTATCGGCCAAGGCCTGCGAGATTATGTATGCAAGTTCATCAAAAACATCGGGCATTTTTCACAAACAAAACAGTAAAAGCATAAAAACAAAGCGCACAAACAAAGTACTGAATAGTATATGTTTATTGATAACGACCTGTGAATAGGCAAAGTTTTTACAACAGATGCAACTCCTGAAAAGAGGAAGCTGCGCAAAAACTACAAGTATGCATAAAAGCAAATACAAAAGTGTACATGTTAAACATAAAGTACAGCAATGTCGGCAATGTGGTGCAGATGCACACCATGAGCTGATTCCTCTATGACTCGCTTGACTTTGACGCTTTCCCGATGCTTCGTCTTCAGAAGAGATTGATTCGGACAAACGGCCCTCAGGTTCTCCCAATCCACTAAGCAACAAAGTCTATACGCAGACCACATTCATTTGCTTTTCAATCCCTAACTTTTACCTGAACCGCCCTTTCGGGTTTTCGATTCACCAGGATACCCATTTTTGCCAAAGTCGCCTTTTCAGGTTTTCAACTTTGCGGGTTTACATCTTTTTTCAATTTTATCCCTAATTTTTGCCCGAACCTTTTTCCTTTTTTATGGTTCGACGGGATGCCCCATTTTTGCCTGGACTTTTCTTTTTGTGTCCAGCGGGTCTCTTTTAAGCAAAGTATTTTTTAACTACGTCTGCGTTCACAGGGGATGCAAAGTCCTCACCGTCCATGGTAGATAACACTAAGGCTCCT